AGTATCGTACGATTCTGTCGTGTTGTTGTCCTTGTCATTTGTTGTGTTTTGGTTAAAGCGTTTTATGAGTGAAAAGACAACAGGTTTAGGATACCCATTCCATGACGCAATTTTCTTAAGAAATTGCAATTCTTGGGCTAGTTTAGTGGGTGAACAGATTTTGTTAATGCGACCAAGAAGAGAGCGAATCCATGCAATGCAATGTTTCCATGATACGAAACTGTCAAAGTGAGTGTATTGACCTGTAAAGTATGTTTTCGGTATATGGAAAACTTGTTACCATCTAGGTTAAGATCTAGAAAGTGTGGTGGTTCGTCTGAAAATACGTCACAGGTGAAACGTATATCGCGGTCAAAAGAGTGGAATTGGTTCAGAAGGAAATCAATGTCGTCATGTTTGATTAGTAGTAGTGTGTCATCTACATTGCGGCAATAGGATGTAATTATACCGTTACTAATTAGAGGATTAATTACAATGCGCTCAAATTCGATTAGGATAATGTTCGCCATCACTGGACCAAGAGAGCCACCCATGCTAACACCATCAATTTGTTCGTAATAGACATCTATTTATGTCATCTATTTATGTCCTAATATTTTGTGTGCGTATATGTATGTATGAAAACTAGATGGGATGACCCCTTGTTGGAAATGAACGGGTAGATATCGTAATTTTTAAGTGTGCGTTTTTCTTTTGCGGTGGTTTCCTGGTCTTATCGGTTGATCCCAATCAACCTAACCACAACTTAATTGCAACCTAAGCTCAACCGAACCACAATCTATCCATCAGTTGGTCCGCTACAACGTGAGTTATGGGCAGTTAAGTCCAAACAAAAGTACTGTAATAAAATGTCCTACAATCTCACGTCATTCTACCTTGCTACCATCCTGGTGCCTGAACCAGAAGTCGCCAGAAATTTTTTTCACGACAATATGTATGGGAGATAAACCTACCTGAGAATGATAAAAAGAACCTCGACGTTTTGAGTGAATGCTTTTCAGATAATTGTATCTTCTATAAAGATTGCTGCTCATGCTTAACGCTGCAGACCGTTCGACACTTTTTTCTCTTCTGTCTGAGCCTTCTGTCTAGGTCGTTATTCTGTGGATCTGGAAAAAACCTGTTGAACTCGCGAATTTAAAAGTTTTGCTGTTTCACTTCAATGATAAAGTGCGCATGCTCGACCACATTCGAGGCGCATAAAGTGCGCATACTAGGATAAACTTTACGAGGATAAACTTTATTTAACCATGCATGCACGCTAACATTGTCAACTAAATTTGGTTTCCACAATGGGTGCATGTGTAAAACATTTAGGAATAGTTAGTATTAGTTACAAGTAAAAAATAAGGAAAAACACGCAAATATAAGGAAATAAGGAAAAACACGAAAATATACAATAATTATATTATTTACAAGAATCATGTGGATTTATAAGCAATGGGTAACGATGTTTCTTTTAAAACTTGAGAGCGATTTACTTGCTGTTAAATGTTCTGGTAGGAAGTTCCATATGGATCGTCCATAAAACTCTTTTTCATATTGTTCGTAAATGGTACTTGAGCTGTCGCGGAGACTGTGATTCAACATTTCCTTTCTGAAAGTAAATAATTGTTTGAGACAATTTGGCCCCATGTTATTAAGTATTTTAAACATTTTTGCTTTGGCTGGCTTTCACTCTTTGTTCCTTGAGTGGTTCCCATCCTAATATATTCAACACAGTTTGTTGATCTACCTCATTTATATAACCTTAAATTCAGGCCCTAATATAAATAGGGCCTGATACAAAACCTGTCCAAACCGTGGGACGCCCACATGTTATTTTTAGGCACAGTCATACAATATGATTGACAAGTGTTGTAGATTTCTTTGCACGAAAATAAATACTAAAAATACGAAAAGATATTCATTTCATGTTGGATTATTTGTTTTTATATTCTCATGAACATGTCCGCAGAGTGTGCATTTTGCTTTTTAAACTTAACAAGACGCCTACTCAGGCGTTTACTCCGGGTACAGGGCCCTAAGGTGGCTCAATACAGTTTTTGAAATATGACAAAATCGTGATTTAGATTTAATTTTTTGGAGAGAGGTTTCTTGTTAGAAGACAAAAATTGTACCACATATATGGAGCAATCTTCTAAGAGATGAAAATTGTTCACAAAAATGACGTCATTACCGTTGCTATGGTAACAATGACGTTTCAATATGACCGGCATTTTACCTTTTAACACATTTTAATCGAAAAAAGGCCATTTCTTATTTCGTGAAATGTTTTCATTTAGAAAAATGAATGATATGAACAAATTTACAAAAATTCTGTAGATCAGAATTTTAAAAAAATTAAAAAAACGTGATTTTTCGTGATAAATATTTTTTGGATCTACAGAATTTTTTTATACTTGTTCACATCATTAATTTTTCTGAATGAAAACGTTTCACGAAATAAAAAATGGGGGTAACCGGCCTTTTTTCGAGTAAAATGTGTTAAAATGTAAAATATCGACCATATTGAAACGTCATTGTTACCATAGCAACGGTTATGACGTCATTTTTGTGAACAATTTTCAACTCTTAGAAGATTGCTCCATATATGTGGTACAATTTTTGTCATCTAACAAGAAACCTTTCTTCAAAAAATTAAATCTAAATCACGATTTTGTCATATTTCAAAAAACTGTAGGGAGCCACCTTAACTAAGCGCAAAGCTACTTTAACGTATGCTTATATACGGCAATGAAGGTATCTTTAATGCATGATATTTAGCATATTAACGTTGGAAAAGTGCATGGGAGATCTACAGTGTAACCACTTGACCAGATGACTAAAAACATATGCAATGATCATTATATTTTACAACATAAAAATAAAAGGACATTGTGACACTGATTATCTCTAATAAAAGCTATCTAGTTCTTTATTAAAAGTTCTATTTAAAACATGCGTATAGGTGTGTTTTATCGAGTCGTATATAATAAGTCGGAGGCCGTATTTTACAAATATTTTATGGGGGGTTTTTATTGTCGAGGTAGAAATTCGAGGGTGAAAAGCTTGAAGGTACATTTTAATAATTTAACAAAATAATAATTTTAACTCGTGTTCATTTACTTTACTTTTAATTTTTAGCTCTTATTTTTATATGCAATTATTAATTTTTTATATGCGTTTACTTTTTATATGATAAAATATTACTACATAAAAATAGACATGCCAACCAAAAGCTACAGTCGAGATAGTTTGAAACGGCGTGGTGCATTATCTGCGTTATCTCAATCTCGTACCCAGAGCAATGCCTGTGCGCGGGCTAGGATGGCATTG